CTTTTCCCCAAAATCACCACAAAAAACAAAGAAACAACAATCAATAAAAACATTCCACACAGATCTCTAAGTTAATTCAAGAAAATTTACCACAAAACCCTAATACACAAAAAAGTAAGATCCCCCCCAAAACCCTAATTCACTTACACAAAAATATCAACAATTATGCATAAAGAACATAACTTTACAAGTGGGGTTTTCACTGTATATATACACAAGTCACAAGATTGGTAATTCTTACAAAAAGCAAGATCCCCCCACCCAAAACCCTAATTTAATTACACAAAATATCCACAAATATGCCTAAAGAACACAACTTTATAAGTGGGGCTTTCACTATATGTATGCAAAAGTCACCTGACTGGTAATTCTTGAAAGTTTAGTTTTGAGTCTTTGGAGGTTTCACTTTTTTTTTCCTCTTTCTCTCTCTCTTTCAATAACTGAACACTGTATTTATTGGTTTTACAGTTTGTTTTTTGCCTTTCTGAGGTGGTGGTGAGATAGGTGACTATAGGTGGGTGGGTCAAATACCTTTGGGGGGGTAGTGAAGTGGGGTCCACTCAAACGACTAATGAGAAAAAAGGAGAGTTTGTGATGTTTTTGGCTTTTGCTTTTTGGCTTTGCTGTTGGGTGGCTGCCTCAGCTCTGGATAGAATAGTAAGCAAACCAATTAGATGATTGGGAATTGAGGAGATCTTGGCCGTTGATATTGAATGATCTGGCGTCAGCATATTTTAATGTATTACTGTCAGCTTTTGTCGTTTCTGGAAGTTATATGCTCCAGACTTTTTACATTTTTCCCTCTCATTTTGGTTATTTTATATTTGCTATTCCTATGTGCTAAGATCAGAAATACCTCTTTTTATGTTTTGCAAATCTTTTCAAAAAAAAAAAACGTGCACGACACATTTCGTGTTCGCGCAGGATCCAAAAAGGGCCCCACCTCAAAAGTGTGATTAGTGGCTACTACATTAATGTAGATAGATTACACTGATGCAAGTATTAATGGTTGCTCGCAGAGCTCCTACCCTAATATTTTGCAAATCTAAACATATAAAAACGAGTGAAAATCGTTTTCTCCTTCCAATATTATATGAAAATTAAGGTTTTCTTACAATTTTAGATATCAATAACAAGATACAAGCATTATTTTAAAATTTAAGCTAGAGATACTTTTGCTCTCATATCTTAATATTAAGCTATTAATCAATTATTATCTATCAATTCAAATGGTTTGCCCTTTTGATACTTGTATATCATGAAGTGATAACTTTATAATCAAAAGGGTAGTATCTTGTAGGGCAATTTACATATTTAGCCAGTCAGTCAAATATACAAAAAATATATAAAATAATATATTATATAAATGTATGTACATTTAGGCAGAGTTTTGGTTATGTCTATCTTATTGTCACGGGGGCATTTTTGGTCAGTCCAAAGTCACACCCGCGCGGCAGTCAAGTGGCGCACTTAACTCAGCCTTCTCTAAACACTTAGCCAATTTTCAGCAGGTTAACGATTTTTTAGGCAGCAATTCAATAGGAACAACAGCAAATACGGAAAAATCCCAACCTTTATATTAATTTTTAAAATATACAAAGGACCCCTCACTTTGCTATGAACACAAGTCGTTCACAGCCCACTTTTGACAAAGAACACAAGTCGTTCTTGGCCAACACTAAGACCTGCCCAAGCCTAGCCTTAGTCCCTTTTGAAACACTTTGAAACCTTCACGTTTCACTCTTGTTTCCCACTTATAGTTTCACACGAAATTATCCACACCCCATCTGACTAAGTCCAAAGTCCCTATTTATAACATATAGGCAGCCTTTAGAACTTGACAGCACAATGACACTTGTCGTCTACAGCTTTTGCCACTTGTCGGGCTAAGACTAAATCTGCTCCTAACATGTAGTTGACATCCCCAACTACTTAGGACATGATATCCACGAAATTGGATAATGATACAAGCATAAATCAGTCATGGTACAAAGAGGTTATGACAAGGTAACCGCCAAACTACTTTTCATGCGCATTGCATGTGCCATCTTCACCCAAATCTTTGCCACAGCCATGCCACTCCCGATGACAAAGAGTCAGGCCCTAACAAACCACCCGCACCCTTTGAAATCGACGTCCTCGTCGAGCCAATTCAATGAAGCAGCCCCAAGGGGTTGTTGACATACATCGCCCCTGGTGCTCCATTCCCATCTGCCACAATGGCATTCGCCTCCGCCACTTGTTCCTATTTTTCTGCAGCCAGTATAGCGTTCACCATAGCCTGCACCGGACAGTCCTTCTTCAAGTGCGATCCCCCACAAGTAAAGCAACCTTTGAACTTGTCGCTCCTTTCTTTGTCGTTGTGAATCTCCTGTCTCACATTCTTGGCAAATCCCTCATCTTCGGCAGTTTGGCTCTTCCCACTTTTATTCCATTCCCTAGTTTTTTCTTTCTTCCCCTCAGCTTTTGAATGCGAAGTTTCAGCAGGGTCATCACCTATGTTCAGGTCAGCCAACGCATCTGCCGCAGTAATGGCAGTAGAGAGGCTTTAAATATTCTGCCTTCTCAACTCCAATTGCACCCAGCCCTTCAATCCACTAATGAAGTAATGCAACTTGTCTTCCTCTGCCATATTACTTACATTCAGCATCAAGGACAAAATTCCTTGACATACTCCCTCACCGTGCCACTTTGTTTCAAGCGACGCAGTCCATCTCGTGCAATCCATGACGAGTTAGTTGGAAGGAATTAGGATTTTAATTCCTTCTTCAGCATTTCCCAAGTTTCGACCTTGGGCAGTCCAGCACTTCCACTTCTGCCACTCGTGTACGCCACCATACTTTTGCATTGTCAGTCAAATACATTGGTGTGATCGTCACCTTTTCATCATCATGCACACGGGCAGCCTGGAAATATTGCTCCATATCCCACAAGAAATTTTCCAATTCTTTAGCACTTCTTGCACCCTCATATGCCTTTGGCTCCGAAATCCTCAAGTTTGTGCGTTCATCACTTCTAGGGGCAACAGTTTGCAATTCCCTTTGAAGTTGAACCACTTCCTCACGCAGTTCCTCTTTATCTTTGCGTACCAAGGCTATTTCTGCCAGCGTTGTCTCATGTCTCGCCGCATAATCTGCCTCCAAACGTTCCATTCTCGCCAGAACAGAAGAATCGCCATCTACTTTAAGAGCCTGCCCAACGAGTGCTTCCAACTGCTCCACCCTTTGACGCAGTTCAGCATTTATTCCACCAGCCATGTTCTCAAATAGCCCAACGAAATCTGCCACCGATCATCTTGTCACTGCCACGAACCTGGCTCTGATACCAGTTGTCACGGGGCGTTTTTGGTCAGTCCAAAGTCACACCCGCGGCAGTCAAGTGGCGCACTTGACTCAGCCTTCTCTAAACACTTAGCCAATTTTCAGCAGGTTTGGCTTTAACAATTTTTTAGGCAGCAATTCAATAGGAACAACAGCAAATACGGGAAAATCCCAACCTTTATATTAATTTGAAAATATACAAAGGACCCCCCACTTTGCTATGAACACAAGTCGTTCACAACCCACTTTTGACAAAGAACACAAGTCGTTCTTGGCCAACACTAAGACCTGTCCAAGCCTAGCCTTAGTCCCTTTTGAAACCCACACGAAATTATCCACACCCCATCTGACTAAGTCCAAAGGCCCTATTTATAACATATAGGCAGCCCTTAGAACTTGACAGCACAATGACACTTGTTGTCTACAGCTTTTGCCACTTGTCGGGTTAAGACTAAATCTGTTCCTAACATGTAGTTGACATCCCCAACTACTTAGGACATGATATCCACGAAATGGGATAATGATACAAGCATAAATAAGTCATGGTACAAAGAGGTTATGACAAGGTAACCGCCAAACTACTTTTCATATGCATTGCATGTGCCATCTTCACTTGCCCAGCTGAATCACTCCCAAATCCTTGCCACATCCATGTCACGCCCGATGACAAAGAGTCAAGCCCTAACACTTATCCACCATATATAACAATGAACTTTGTCCAACACCATTAAATAAGATAGAGCAACGCTTAACTTGCAGTTCATGACACAATGGAGCATCTTAGACAAGATGAAATTGAGGATTATCAAAATATGAATATATGATCGTCCCAGCAAGAAAAGACGTCAGGTAACACTTAGAATTCCCACTAACGTTCGTGATCTAAAAAAGACTATTGCCGCCATTTTTGCGAACTTCAAGCGAACAAGTCGCTAAGGTTTCCACAGATCGAGGCTTATAGCAAAAGGAAAAACGATTCTATCCAATCACAATCTCGACAAGTCTCTAATCAGGGGTTGCAGTAAGTAGATCGAGAGGTCGTTCCGCCCCTTGTCCATATGGGGAATATGTTCTCATAAAAGCTCCAATCCCTATTTTGTATTTATAGAATTACACAGTCAAGGGTAGATAGAATGAGAGCTATGTCGACAACTTTCATGTGCCATTTAAAAAGAACACATAATCCTTATTAAATATTTGGATTAAAAGTTCTTAGAATAGATTTGCAGTAATAGTAAATAACAATTTTTAATACTATCCTAACAACCATCACTTCAACACTCAACAACTTCAAACAAAATGACTTTTGGGAACCATGGGCATAAAAAATTAAACCTGAGGTATTCATTGTACCTAACTTATGCTTGCTTTTCTTTGCCTCCATGTTGAGAAATATGAAATAAATATAAAAATAAAAATCCCATTTTGACAAATGTTATTGGCACATAATCAGTACATAATGCGAACAGATATATTTTTAATCGTTTGATAATATTGAACGCACTCAAATAAAGCTTTGTTACTACATCCTTATCCTCTAGAATATATGCGTTTAAACGTCAAACATTAATTACTTTTCTAGTCTGTTTAGCAAACAGATAAAATGAGCCGTATTGAATCACAAGATTGAAGTTAGATACTGAAAAATGCCACCATAATGGAAAGTCCTCAACAAGAAGAAAATCAACATAATTCACATAATTTAAAATTCACAAAAGTTAAAACAGCAAGATGTACTATGAGGAATAAATCCAATTGATTAGCTGAAATTTCATTCTATTCACATAGCTGAAAGGGGCAAACATAACTGAGCTCCCACTGTACACATTAAGATACACTAATCATTCTCTCATCCACACCCCATTGTCTTGTTGCCTTTCCACATTAACTATGAGGTAGAACAAAATGGTGCACTGCATTATCAGCTACTAAATTCCATTATAAACAGTTAGAATACGATCCCTTCAGTCACGTCTTCATCATCTGATACATGTTTCGGGTAGCTGCAAGCCTGCAACTACGACATCCAAAAGATCTATCCTCTGATCGCTGTACAATAGACAGCTATCCAGTTGCTGAAACTACTAGATCATGAGTGACCGATGAAAGCTTGCTTAATGGCGCTTAAAATCCAACAGAGACAAGGGTCCGTCCAAATATGAAGTATTATCGCTCAATACCAGCTTCAGCTTCAGCTAAGATGGAATCATTCTCTTCCAGCAAGTAGTCACAAATCTCTAGAAGCTGATCAGCAAGAGGGGGAATACCTGGGTTGCGCCCATCATTGTATATATGTGCATTGATGGTGATCTGTGCCACATCATGCCTGAATTGCCCGCGGTTTTTATATTCTAGTTTCCTGGCCTTCTCTTTGATTGTAGATAGGTCCATAGGACGCTTTACATACTTGTGATAATCTGGAGCTTCTTTTCGGGTCACTGGTTTTAAGAAGAGGTAAGATACTTCCACATTTGACTTCAGTGTGTCAACAATTTCTTCCAAAATATTTGACAAACCAACCTTCAAACAAATTCAACCACATTTCAGTTAAATGAAAAGACTACTGCACATCTGCCCTTTAGCAATAAGCAACTACCAGAAAGAACATATCAAATAAGACCAGAGGTTTTTCCTGCAAACGTCTTGCTTTTCTAACTGCAGTTAACTGACCAACAATGAGAGAATTATGCATACAGAGAATGCGTTCTTGCTTAAGATATGACAATCGGCCATCTGGGAAAAAACAGACTACTATGTTATTGTTTGACAGTCAAACAACACTCATTAGAGTAGATGCATGATCAACATTCCTATGACAGTAAGTAGGCCTTTCTCTTTTTCCCTTCCTATTTCACATGCAACGAGGCATAAGCCTCACTTTTTCCAAAAAAAAAAAAAGAGAAAGAAAGAAAGAGGAAGCTCCACCCACCATGACGGAAGTTAGCCGTATTTTCTCTTAACTAGTACTATTAATTTCCTATCAGAAAATTCTATAAACACCACCATGCAACCAAATTAGCCAACAGGAACGTGAGAGAGGTCAGCTAGATCACTTGGACACAGCACAAAATGAAATAAGGATCAAATGGTCTTGGCCCTGAACACTTTCCAANCTTCGGGGTAGGGGTAAGGTTTGCGTACATATTACCCTCCCCAGACCCTACTTGTGGGATTATACTGGGTTGTTGTTGTTGTATGGTCTTGGCCCATGGCATCTATGGCCATAGCAAACGGACTGTCACTATTACCTGCAGGCATAAACAAGCATAATAGATTTAGTTACCTCTCCCGCTCTTCGGCGCTTTGCTGGCGGTGCATGCTCTTTAGCATGCCTTCCGGACTCTAAAGGTTGCCTCCGCTTCACCGATCTGTCTCGATCTGGTATCCTTCTGTCATTTCTTCTGGGAAGAAAATCGTCCAAGTAATCATCTCTTATTTCAGGCTTCTTCTTTTTCTTCTTCTTTTCCTTTAGACGTTCTTCTTCTTCCCTCTCTCTTCTTATGGCATCTTGATAGCTTTCAATTGCCGCTAATTTCTCCTGCTCCTCTAGTGCCTTCTGTCGCTCATATATCATTTTGGCTCTTTCTTCTCTTTGTCTCACAGCAACTCTCCTCCTCTCTTCCTCTTCCCATAATCGCTTATCATCCATTCTTTTCCTTTCTAAAGCCTCTTCATAAAAGTGTTCCCTATCTTGCTGCCCCAAGTACGACAATTCATTGATTTTCTTTGTCTTCCTGAAATCCATGCCACTGCTTCCTTCCAGAAAGCTTTCATCCACACTTGCAGAGTCCTTAAGTTGCTTAATTACAATTTTCTTGCTGCGATGTGAGTCTGCAGTTTCTGTTGGTGGCCTTATCAGAATAGAGGGCTTGTGAGCTTCATTGGAAATATCCTCTGCTCTCATCTTATTTGAAAACTTTATTTTATTGAATTTTATGGGGGGTGGTACAGTTCCAGTTTCAGCATCTGAAGTCACTGGCATGTCAGAATTAAATGAGGTGGCAGGAGTAGGTTTATCAAGAAGCTTGTCGGTTGAGCCACATTTGACCTTCAGAACTTTGGCCTTTGAACTGGAATTATCATCCTCATGAGCTTCGATCATCACATTCTTTGTTCCACTTTTTTGGATGACTTTCTTTGAGAAGATCTGTGGATGATCCAAGGGATCGATAGAACTAATAGCTTTTCCTGTAGTCTTTTCCAAATCAGTGCTTTCTGCTCGTGCATCCACATCTTCCCCATACTTGGGACAATTCTTATTAGTTCTCATGTGACCAAGCTGCATAACAAGATCAGTCAATTGATTAGCCTTCATAACTCTAAAAAGAATAAGATGATTATTCAATTATAACCACAAACCTGACCACAGGCCCCACAGACAAAACTGTCTCTTGCTGACTTCTTCTCTTTCACGGGCTGCATCCAAGGAGAGTATCACATCAGTTACATGTCTTATAAGAATCAAGAAACACTTGGTACGGATATATTGGAATTCAAAATAAGCAGAAACAAAATAAACTTAGGGACATTTACCTTTATTCCATCCCCTAGTATTTTAACCTTTTTATTGAATAATCCAGTGTCCACGATATCAAATTTTTTCTTGGGTTTCACCTTGCTAGATAGGGTTCTTTTAGTAGAAAACACTTCAGCCTGCAGCTAAAAAGAAAATCAGATGATTGCACCATCTGCGTGACATACTAAAGACGCCTACAATATCCTATTAATATAAGTGGAGCACGACGGAATTAGAGAGGAAGAAAGGATAACAACCTCCTTCTGATCTCCAGTGAAATCCAATGCATTTGACCGATCAGACTTGATGCTTGGCTTGGAAAATATTTGAGGTTTTTTACCCCGATCAGTGCTTTCTGTACCAAACCTGTATCTTAAATCTGGCATGACACCAATTTGCTCCCCCATGACTTTCTCCTTTTTTTTCTTCTTTCGATCAGCTTCTTCATCTGCAAATTAGTAGTTAGAGATAAACAATACCAGATAAGAAACATGTGCTAAGATAGGCTGCACCTGTTGGCAGGCAACAAAAAATGGTTTATACCATGAAGAAAGATGCTATGTGTAAATTCTATTGAAAGAAGAGGGTAAGATCCACCTCAAAGGAAAATTGTTGTGTCATAACGATAAAAGGGAGTCAGCAGTTTTCTTATATGCATTGTTTGGATCGATTGTTATAGCAACCTCTATTTGGTAATATTTCCTACAATCTTTTTAAAGAAAAGTATTCAGAGTTGGTGAGTCTTTCAAGGATAAGATGCAACTTAATCAACTTGTCAGGACTTCTGTAAATTCCTAAACAGTACTCTGCTCTAGATCAGGAGTGATGCTACATCATTTGCGAACTTCACATGACAAGGATTTAGCATTGGCCGTGCCAAGACGTATCAACAGAGAACCCAATCCTTGACATTACGATGCCCCAACTCATAGGCATGGAGAAATATGTCATACTCCACCCACCGTACCCTATCCAACTGCAGAAGCATAAGAACCAACCTCATATGCTTTTTTCTATAGAATTTCCTTCCACTGAATTTCTATTTTCCAGGAAAAAGAAAGTAATATTGAAGTACACCAAATTCTTAATTTTCTCAATCTTGCAGACTATAGCACCAAGATGCCAAGGATGGACTAGAAATAACATATACTAATAGATATATACATATATCCATGTTCCATACCATCCATGAGCATGCGGCATAATTCTGCAGCTTCAGCTGCCTCATCCTCGATTTCCTCTTCCACCTGAGCTTGAATGGAGCGTCTTCTCATCTTGAGTCCTTTGACACCGTCTACATTATCATGTTTGGGCTCATGACTACCCTCCTCACCATCCTCGCATTCCTCTGCGTCAAGAAGATTTTCCAAGTCACCAGCAAATGAGTCCAGGTCACTGTTCACTTCAGAGTCACTCTCATTTTCTTCACCATCAACAGCACTAAGATTTTGGACTTGTCGGTCCCAGATCTCCTGACATTTTTCTCTGGTTTGCTGCTGCAGCTGCAAAAAGGACATGCGCTGCCCATGTGCATATTTGCTTATCGTTGTCGGATCAACTTTGACACCTGATGCAGCTTGCTCGCTGGAGAGCTTGCGAATCATAGCAATTCGGTGCCACCTTGTTAGTTTAGCAATCTGCTCCTCTGGAACATTAAACTTGAGAAGAACCTAAATACAAGAAAATACACCATTATGTAAAATGAGAAACACATACTTGTGAATTGATAGGAAAAACCCATTCGGCTACTGATCCATAATTCACAGGCAATTCGCCAAAGATAGAAGAACTAGAAGCAGAAATGGGGTTTGATATGGACAAGAGAACTTTATGCATCAGAGCCGAGGACAAAATAATCAACTACCCGTGGACCTGTCAACTAGGCTTTAAGCTAAATAAACACGCCTGAATCAAATAAGTCAGAATTGATTCTGTTCGGAATCATCTTTCATAAGGGGTATATTCATTTAGGTTCTACAATCAAATCAGGGGTATTTCTTTTCGCCGCAACTTAAAACATACAATAGCAGAACATAAAAAGAAACAGTCAATCCAGATTGATACCAATGAGTTGACATATATGTCAATGGAAACATACATAATGTTGAAGTATGTGACCATCTCATCTAAACGCTTAAGCTGTTAGAGAGAGCACACTTTTATTTATTTAATTATGTCTTCAACACGCCCCCTCACGTGCAGGCTTGATTTTTTTTCATGAGCCAAGCACGTGAAAATTTCTTTTTGATATTGGGTGGCGGTGAGACTCGAACCAGGACCTCTGCCTGCTCTGATACCATGTTGAAGTGTGTGACCATCTAAAAGCTTAAATTATTATTGAGAGCACACTTTTATTTATTTAATTATGTCTTCAACACATACGAGACAAAAGCCATTTACTTTTTAGGAAACTGCAGTTGATGCTAAGCCAAAAAAGCTCAAAGTTTGTAAACTCCAATTCTAATATTAATCCAATCAACTCACCTCGCGTGCAGCTTCCATGCTCAGTCTTCTTAGATCTGCATCAGTGCCTGTTACTGTTGACCCTTTAGCAACAACTGCTTTTTTCTTGGAGATTGCATTTGATATTGGTGCCTTAGGAGTGGTGCGGACGTAACTGAACCCTAATCCCCGACCGGATGGATCACCAACACCAGTAATTTCCAGTCGCTCAATATTTTCTCTATCCTGTAGAAAAGAAAGACCAAGTTTCAGGACTAGCCAGGATGTTATGAATTACAGAAAACGTGTACATGTATCTCTTTTTTTGAGAATGATTACATTTTATAAATATAAATCAGCACAAAGTTTGTGCTGCTAAAAGTGACAGAATACATCCCCAAAAAAGTAAAAGAATCCCCCACTAAAAAAACTTACAAGGATTCTATGATATCAAGTATGGAGTCACTATCATTTACAGGGCATTCTTTACACCAAAAAAGAAAATGTACTAAACAGTTCATTTTGATTTTCTGAATGGAGTTGCTGACATCCTCAAAACATCTGGAGAAAACGTGTACATGTATCTCACAGCACTAACTTAATGAAACAGCAGTGATACTAAGAACACTTATTGTACTTTTTATTATGATCTAATGAATGATCAAAAAAAAAAAAGTAGTGATACTAAGAATACTTATTGTACTTTTTTTTTTATGATCTAATGAATGATCAAAAAAAAAAAAGTAGTGATACTAAGAATACTTATTGTACTTTTTTTTTTATGATCTAATGAATGATCCTTATACTCTATCGTTGCAACAGAAAGTTTTGAATTATTTAAAGACACCAAAGGCTGCCATGCCAAAGAATCTCTGATGACCAGATAAAAGGTTGAGAAAAACAGAAATGACCAAAATGACCAAATGCAATTTCTGAGACATATTACCATGACATTGAGATAACTAATTGGCAATCACCAAAAAGGAAAGGACAGAGTTCCAAAGTTTGTTGGATTAGGTTCACACACTCCGGAAAAAGACACGCAGTTCGTCAAAGACTAGATTACAAGATGGATGATGCAAAAATGATCTACCTGGTTTGTACAGGCAACAAAGTTGCTACTCAAGTTCCAAGGTGTGATTTGAAGCTCCCTTTCAATATGCGATGCAGCAGCTAAAGCAATTGCTTCATCTGGGAGCTGATTCATTGCAGCTGATAGGCCTGTAGGATGAGTTAGCCGCGTAATACCTAGGCGCTTAAGCCTATAAAGACCAGCTTGCATGCTTTCATATGCACACACCTGAGCCAAAGGACAAGCACACAACAAAAAGTTTCAGATAAATGGTTGAAAAAACAATAACATAGGCAATGTGAAACAGTAAAGAAGAAGAGGCAATTTGGGGCCAGTAACAGCATAATGAAAAGCATTACTACATTCTGGAAAAATGACATTTGAACCCTAGTCTGCACCGAGGTCAATGACTTTCAGGGGTCACAATCTCTACCAACTTAATTGGATATGAAAATTAAAAGGAGGTGAATTTAAAATTTCTTATTGCAACAGAGTCCAGCAATTTAAACTACTCAACAAGAAAAAAAATATTATAGACCATCAACAACGTACACCATTATTGATGAATTCTGTTCTCGGTATTTAATAGGAGAGCAGGGAGCAGCATGATTTAGCCTCCTGCTGATACCAAATGTGCTAAAGTGGCAAACTCCATAATCGAATGATGAAGCTTTAAGATAGTGTTAAATGTACCCATGTTATTTTGACAAGTGCACGACATCTCTTAATGCACAGTACAGAATGTTTTTATAAACCTTCTTCATTTTTCTTTTTGGTTGGGAGAGGGGGATGAGAGAGAAACTAAAAACAAGGATCTTTTGAAAAGAACTCACACTTTCCGGTGAAACCAGCCTCCTCAGTTCCTCCTCGGACGGAATCCGAAAATTGAACCTCATAACCCATTGGAGCTGTCCATTTGATCTTCTCTGCATCATGTCAGCACCTAAGTTACTTACCACAGACACATAAAGGGAAGGAGCACATGAAGTTCAACAAAGACGACTTTCAATAAATTCTGTCCGATTAATGTCTGTACTAAAGTATTTACCCAGGAATCAAAATGTTGCTTCTTAAAGTACCTGCAAATCAGCACAATGTTTGAGCCTTTTCCTAAGAAAGGCCTCTGACAAGCTAGGGAACTGTGCAGACAGCTCATCCGCGCGGATGAAAGGACGTGAACCCCGTTTTTCAATAGCACGAAATTCACGATACATATAGACCAATAATCTGTTCATTATGTAGGTCTGAACACCTTTGGATCCGGGAGAGATTACCTCCATGTGAGGCTCCTTCAAAGATAACAAGGGAAAGGCAGATTAAACAAGGAAATAGATCCAGCACATATTCATACACAAGCAACGGATCAGATATTAGTCATAAATTATTCATGATAGATTATCCTCTTCTGGAATAAGATTTCAACATAGCTATAACATGCTTGCATAATAAAGAAACGTGATTATCCTCTCCAGGTATAAACATCGACATTGCTACAGCATGCTGGCACATTACAGAAGCATGTATTAGCATATTGCACAAAACAAATCCACAACAGATTAGGACATCAAAATCTAAAGGTCGTAGTGAATTGTCCTCAAACACTATTGCAAGTTTGCAACTTTAGTTGGAAGTTCATTGAGTTTGTGGCAAGAAGCTGAGAACGGGCGTCAATATACCTCCATGACCCAAAATTAGAAAAATCCAAAGAAAAAAGTTGTTAAAAAAAACTAATGAAAAGCAAATTCTACTTCCCCAGGAATAAAAGAAAGGAAAAAAGCACATAAGCTTATTAAATTATGTAGCTTCAGATTCCTTTTCCTTCACGAGTTCTGATCATTCAATTTTAGCTTATTTATTTAAGATCTGGACAACTAAGACCTCATACTCCACCATCTTGGGCCTGGAACAACATCAATTATTTGGCATGGATTCTGACCCCCATGTCCGCCATCTAGCATCATCATTAAAAGATATAATAATGGCGCGTATTTTGCATATGCAACTGTAATCAAAGGTAGATTTCAATCGAACCAATAGAAAAATCAGGCACATGAAACATCACGAGAACTTCTAATTCATAAGCATTAAAGCTACCAGATCTTGCAAACCAAGTTGAATGCTTCAAGGAGAATGCATGTGGACAATGCAATAATATGAGAAAATCAAAGGCATCCCCTTCAAAGGGGACCAACTCATATCCTTCCAAATTTCAAAACTCAGGCTTATCATGCAACAGCTCATTGTTTCAGGTTCCAAACTGGCAAAATTAACATGAATCAGAAATTTTCATGATGCCATGGTTCAAAATGATGTGTACTAAAACAATCGATATTTTAGAAATAAGTTCATCAGAAAATAATATGCTCCATCCGCTTCAATTCATATGAACCTATTTCCTTTTTAGTCCATGCCAAAAAGAATGATCTCTTTCCATACTTGGAAACAATTTACCTTTATGCATGATTTATAGCCACACAAAATATATGTGCTTCATTCTACACAAGTTCAAAAGTTTTTTTTTTTTCTTGAACTCCGTAACCAATCATTCATACAAATTGAAACGGAGGGAGTATAAAATTTGCATAGTGCAATCAAGATAGTACTTAAATGAGAGACGGTAAGGATAGTAGATAACCTGTTGCCCTACGACATCAATCCTGTCTATCCGCCTTATGGACAGCTTACCCTTTGCTGAGCGAACCAACAAATAATCAGTTGATGAGACCTTCTGCTGAAAAATTGGTGCCCTGTACATATTTGTTTCGAGGGATGACTGGCTACAACCAGGTTTTATATCCCCAAGGAAGGGGGATTTATCAGCAGGATCAAGTATGAGCACACTCCCCAATCCAGTATTTTCGTTGCGCATCAAGGTGCCTTTCTGATCATTTGGAGATGATTTTTGGTAATAAGTACACAATCTTGCACCCATTCCAGCATTTCCAAGGAGCAAAGGTCTCTCCTCACAGTATCTGCAAGTAGAGAAGCAGAGACAAGTGTTGAGGCAGACCAAGCATACGCATCATAAAGTTGTATAAACATGAAAAGAAGTAACGAGATTCTTTTTTTAAAATATTTCTTTAGTCACAAGGTTTCACTAGACACACAACAAGGGGTGACGAAAATATGTACCATGTGGTTGCATAGAGTGCTTCGTTATAAAATCTATCCAATTGTTATACGAAAAGGGATATACTCCTCACACCTAAAATTTAGATGGAAAAAAAATCTTCATTCATCAATAACACCAAGGTAGTCATAAAAATAAGTATGAATGTTATACGCACTGCTCCTCCATCAAATCTATCCAACTGCTATACAAAAGGGTATCTGCTCCTCACACCAAAAATATAGATGAAACGAGAATGATCTTTTAATGCTTCATCCATCAAGCTCTATTCAGGTAGCATTTGAGATGCGATTTGCACAACTCACACAGAAAACAAATGGCTTCAGTTACAGCTCAGAAATTAAAATTCTTCAGTGTCCTATTTGGCTATTTTAAAGTTCCATTACAACAAAAAACAAGAAAAAGCACTTCAAAAATTGCACACAAATAAACTACTTATATGCAACACAGATCTCCGCTTGATCAACACAATAGACCTATTCAAATTGTCATAAATCACTATAAGCAAAGGTATATTATTCATCTATCACGGCACCTAGAGAGTAGTACAAAAGTTCTCCTCCCATTTGAAAACGTGGGGGAACTAGCAATCCCATCAGATCATCCTTACCATTGACAAAATTAAAATTACAACAGTTAGATGATGATGATAATCAGACAAAATCAGTTCTTTTTTTAATTGATGAACGAGAAATCCCAAGGACCAGCTAACAAACGGTTCGAAACTTGGTGATAATGGGCCAGTTCCTCTATCCTTATCCACTTAAATGCCCTTTTTTTCCGCTGCAAGGTTCGAACTCGTGATGTACGCCTATTCTACACATCATGCGCTGCACTTTTACCACTAGACCGAAGCCCTGGCCCCAGACAAAATCAGTTATTCAACCTCGCATTCCGATCTCCTCGATATGACCATCTTCCCTAATCAAATACCAGCAAAATTGTTCCTTACATTGGTCTTACAAGTTATGCTGTTGGTACAATGATAGTGCCCCTACAAGAACTCCTGACATAGCACTGGTACCTGGATAATGTTAATTTCTAACAAATCTTATTCACAACTGTCATCCTCTTCTTACATATCCATATTTTTAAATAAATAATACTCCTTCCGTTCCCTCTTAAATGACAATCTTATCACTTCATTATATCATTTGTTAGGATCAGCATCAACTTTTCTTGTCATTTCTTTTATCTAATGCAAAGTATCGATATTTCCAAATAAAGAATACTCCTATTCCCTTTTTAATGGAACTCTTTCCTATTTAGTCTGTTCCAAAAAGAATAACACCTCTCGATATTTAGAAACTTTTTAAATTTGAACTTCATGTTTTTTTATTAGCGACATACACTTATAGGCATAGAAATATTATGGCATGTTTTAGACCACAAGTCCTAACGATACTTGTGCAAATCTTCCTTGAAACATTCACATTACTGACACCTATCCAATTTTAGGGAAACAGTAATAATGGACAATGAGGGCACCGCATCTCTAAGAGTCTGTACACCGAAAAGAAAACGAAAACTAAAGCTTATTAAAAGAAAATGGGAGAGAATATGCCTAGCATTCACAAGCCATGCAACTGTTCGTGTCTAACCAGCCTCAACTCTCTATCGGTAGACCACTCTACTTCTTATGTTTTCCATAACGAACTTAACGATCATGCTGAAGGTAAGATTCAGGCTTCACCAAAGCAAACCAAAGTCTAACACAGAATAACTCGGAGTAGCATATATAAAATTAGCAGATAAAGAATTACAGGTGTGAACTACTCAGACTCATCCCTTAACAGCCAACAATCAGCACAAATAGATTATCCTAGGGGTAGCAGTTTCAATATTTTTGACATACAGATGGTTGTGGGAACAACCTGTTATTGTGTCAGTATCCGTGTCACAAATTACTTTTCAAGATGACTGTGCCCCATACAACTACAATTCATTGGTCAAGTGAATGCCACAAAGCTATACAGAACCCCCAAAAGGTGGAGCATTCACTAGCGGAGAAAAACTACCTCCAACTTAACAGGTACAAGGCATTTATCGATATTGAGCATGAAAAACTGAAAACAAAATGCCATCAGAATATCAATAGAAAATGCACAATAAAAATCTTTGGGTTAACTTACTCCATGAGGAAAACATGGCCATCTTTCACGGAAAGATCAGATTTTTTCTTAAATGCCCCAGGAGGACGCATGGACTTGTTCTCACCGGGAAGCTTTTGTGCCCTAGGCAACAAATTTATCCTAGTACGAACAAGATGCAGCACAGAGTTTGGTGGAACATTCTGCGCAGAAAGAGATTTATCATCTTCAAGCTCCTTCCCGCAATAAATTATCTTCACTGGCTCAGACAGTTTGAAATCTTTAAACAAATAACATGGTGAAAGTTAGTAATAGTTGGGACATCAAGGTAATAAATAGATATAATATAAGTGAAGGTTAGGAACTAAAAGGACAGAAAAATTACAAACCAAGCTTCTTGGACGCCTTTGACTTAAGGGAAGAAATGGTCTCCTCTGCTGCCACATGAAGTTTACTTCCTTTGCCACCCAAGCTCTTTAATATGATTTTCATCGGCCCGTGTGTAGACAACTTTCTCTGTTCCTTAAGTACCACCTCATTATCATGGGGATGCCATAAAGCTCTTGGCCGATGAAAATTTGCTATGTCTTTACTGCAACAAGGAGTATAAATCACATAAACAAACAATAAAAAAGAAGCAATCAAATACATAAGATAAATCCGAGAGAACAAACATCTAAATCTTATTAAAAGAGGTGATTAGGTAGATCTAACATGTCTTTACTGCAAAGAGGAGTATAAATCACATAAACAAACATTAAAATAGAAGCAATCAACCAATACATATGATAAATCCGAGAGAAGACACTTCTAAATCTTATTAAAAGAGGTGATTAGGTAGATCTAACATCGCACTTATGTCCATAAGGACTGGTGCAAGGACAAACTTTTTTTTGCCTTTGGGTTGCCTAAGCCAACTGATAAATACACGCCAAATTTGTTCCTTGAACTGCAAAAGCTAAGTTACCTCTGTCTACACAAGTACACAAGCAGAGAACAATTAGAGTGGAAGATTGTTTTGTGTGAGGTAATAGCTAGTTAGAGAGAGAAGCTCTTCCATATCTCTAGACTTCAGTTCATCCAAACAATCTCTCACAGTACATCTGGCGTGTGAAGAATCTGAGCATCCAACCCAAAATCTTAAGGCAATGGCCCCTTTGAAAACCCTCGCACAACCAATGAGGGACAAGTATATTCCCTAATACCTCTCACACGTGTAACCTGGTTCTTGAGTTTGCACGTGAACTGAATGTTCTTTATTTTTTTTGGTTTAGATAAAGAAAGTGGTGGCTTGACAATAGTGGGCCTGAAACAGAGGGAAAGACAGTAGGCTCAACAAGCTATTGAGTGAGCCTAGAGCAACGCCTATGCTGATTTAAGAGAGAGAAGTCCACAGCAACTCCATGTGTCAAGTTGAGAGAGAGAAGCCCAGAGCGATAAAACATGAGAAGAGAACGCTGTTTTGACACAGGCTCACCATACTTTGGCTCTAATGCCATGTGAAAGAACCTGAGCATCCAACCCAAAACTTTAAGGTAACGGGGGAGCGACCCGGATATTATAAAACCCTCGGAGACCCTTTTACAACCAATGAGAGTCAAATGTATTCTCTAACATTGCGAACTGAGATCTACAGAGTCGAGCTCAATCAAAGAAAAGAGGGGCTTGAAGGAGAGAAAATGTATTCAAACTCAACTCAACTGTTTGTCAATTTAATCTGCCTTCATTGCAATCTTCAACCCTCACCCTTTCACATCACCAAAAAAGCTCAAATCACTAACATTTTTTTTTACTAGCAAGTAACTATCACAAGAAGAGGCACTTGTGGAGCCTATGCTTAATGTGTGTTCGCTGGCACGTAGGATGACTGTCCTTCTAGCACGATTACATCATACAAAATAAGAGCCTTCCCATCTCATTACCTTTCTCAAAATCTTATCAAAGAATGTTGCAGCTCTAAGAAATTGAGAATACTAAAATAAACTAGGAGCTCAGGAGAGTGCGGAATTTTCTTTTCTTCGACACACTGGAACGTGGAAGCATGGTGATCCTGGTCATGGACAACAGGTACTGGAGAATGACATCAGAAGGTGAAAAGATCCTTAATGTCTCCTTCATAAATGTTACGAAAATGGACTTTGGGCATAACTCAACCCCAAAAAGCTAGCTGATGAGGTATGAGGTCTGGGTTGCCCAAGAGCATGTAAGGAGACAAGTCATTCCTTCAACCA